AATCTCTTTTTTTCTTTCACTTTATTTTTGATGCTTTGTCTTAATTGCCTTGTTCGTGAAACAAAACAAAGACACAGAACCTATCTCTTACATAAGATAAGAAAAAAAGCAATCTTTAATATTCGTTTCTTTAACAAGAATTTGGTTATCTTAAAATGGAGATGTGTAGTTGAGTTTATTAGTATATATATAGAGGTCACTGTTGTTTTGCAACTTCACTTCACTTGGAATCTTTTTTCATAAATCTCTCTTTAATAGGTTATGTCAGTGTTTTGTTTTGTTTGGTCTCTTCTATGTGACTAGACATAAAACTCTACTGTATTGATTTTTCTTTTTTTTTAAGGATTTAAAAGCTTATGGGGTCATGGTTTTGATGAATATTGCTAATGAAGACTGATCTAATTATATACTTTTTTTTTCCTCAAATTAGCTTTAGTGGATTCTTACCTAGACAGGAAATAAAATAAAGGGTTTAGAGATGTGGGGGCAACTATTTTAGTAAATCAAAAAGAACAAAAAACTAAAGAAAGAGAGGGTTCATTATGATTGTGTTCTTGCTTGATAGATCTCATAGCTTTATTGATGTTCTTTTAAGAATGATCATAGTAGACCTACCTTTTTAATTCCTTGGATTAACAACTATTCTTCTCTTGACGCTTTTGGTCATGGCTAAAGCCCTCAAAACTACCTATAATGTTTGTGAAAATGTTGTATTCAACATTCTTACTTTGTAAAACAAGATTTAAGATTAAAGATATCTAATCGGTGTTTTCGGGTACTTATGCTATGCAGATTAAAGATATGGCTTTAAAATTCTCTGGTGCTTATAAACAATGCAAGCCATGTACGGGTTCTTCTAACAGCCCTATGAAGAAAGGACATAGACCATTCCCAGATTTCGACAATGCTTCTGAAGGTGTTCCATATCCTTACATGGGTGGAAGTACCGGTTCCACTCCTGCTTGGGACTTCACAAATCCAGCGGGACGATCAGAATCAAAATTCACTTCAATCTATGGAAATGATAGGGAATCTATCTCTGCTCAGTCTTGTGATGTGGTACTTGAGGATGATGAGCCAAAAGAGTGGATGGCTCAAGTAGAACCCGGTGTTCATATCACATTCGCTTCGCTTCCTAGTGGAGGAAATGATCTCAAACGGATCCGCTTTAGGTATGTTATCTTTGTAGATCAGAGAAGTGGTGACTTGAAACAGAACCTGCTTCTTTTGTCTCCTGTTTCGATATATATGTTGGTTGGTTATAGTACACTGCCTGATAATTGAAGCTAAAAACATGAAACTAGAGCTAACCATTACTTGTGTCTTGTTTTTGAAAGCCGGGAAATGTTCGATAAGTGGCAAGCTCAAAGGTGGTGGGGTGAGAACTATGACAAAATCGTCGAGCTTTACAATGTACAGAAATTTAATCGCCAAGCTCTTCAAACGCCTGCGAGATCCGAGGACCAGGTAGAACATTACCTGAAACCAAGGCACATCTATTTGCAATGTTCCTTTTTGTTTTTCTTGAGACAATAGTAATAACCTTTGTGAATCCTGTCTTGTTTATTTTTCAGTCACAGAGAGATTCAACTTACTCAAAGATGGAATCAGCGAGAGAAAGCAGAGACTGGACTCCAAGACACAACTTCAGACCTCCAGGAGTTAATGTTCCGCATCACTTTTATGGTGGCTCTAGTAACTATGGACCAGGAAGTCATCATGGAGGACCACCAATGGATGCAGCACGAACCACAACTTCGTCTAGAGATGAACCACCGTCCATGAGCAATGCTAGTGAAATGCAAGCTGAGTGGATCGAAGAGGACGAGCCCGGCGTTTACATTACCATCAGACAATTAGTAGATGGGACTAGAGAGCTACGTCGGGTCAGATTCAGGTATAACAAAACATCTAAGCATTTAGGATTGGATTGCTTTAGTGCTTAAACCACTATGATAACTCTGGTTTTCGGTTTAGGATATCGGTTTACCCTATGAAAAATGAAGCATTCACAAGATTTTCAACATTTTGAACACAAAATCATTCCGAAACAAAGCATTTAGGATCTGATAGTTTAGTGCTCAAAGCCCCCTTGATTAGTCTGGTTTCTGGTTTAGATTATCGGTTATATTCACAAGATGTTATACATTTTGAACTTCGATATCAAACCGTAACTAACCGGCATTTATGCATTTTTCGACAGCCGGGAACGGTTTGGGGAAGTACACGCAAAGACCTGGTGGGAGCAGAACAGAGAGAGAATACAAACACAGTACCTCTGAAGAGAACATTATATATATAAGAGTGTCTCTCTACCAAACCTTTAAATTAATTAATCTCCTTCACATAGCTATACACATTTTGCTTATCTTTTTTCTTCTTCTTAGATTAAGATCTATACAGAAACTAAGTGTTTAAAATCATCATCGATGATTAAGCTGATTATATATAACCATCATCAACAATTAAAACGTAAAAGACAAACACTCTGACCATTAGAGATGTGATTAAAATACGATACTATGGATTAGGTCCCATCCCGTCTTAATTTTTCCGATGTGAGATCTAGGCCTGGGTACAAACCGAGTACTTGCTAATTTTCAAGTACTTGTGACTCGGCTTGGCTTGTTCAAGTAACAAAAATTCCGGCTTGATACTTGACTCGTTCGAAGCAAGTACTTACTCAATCAAGTACTTGTCCAAAATCATGTCACTTGCAAGTAATTTGACTTGGATTGTTACTTGCCAAAATCATATAATTGCTACTTGAAAATAAAAAGAATCTCCATACAAATTACAAAACATTCAAAGTTCTTACAAAACATTCAAGTTCAAACATCTTAAAATCATAATACATTAAAGTTCCAAAAGATAATTTGCCCAAAGCTTCATGGCAAGTAATGTAAACAAGTATCAAGCCGAGTAACGAGTCAAGTAGTAAAAAAAATTGTTGGCTTGATACTTGGTTCGGACTTGCAAGTAATAGAATATGTTGGCTTGTTATTCGACTTAACCGGGACATGTACTTGCTTTTTCAAGC